TACAAGGAGTGCTTTTTGGCAAAAGATGTTGTGACAGTAGCCAAAGAATTTCTGTGGTTGGAGACACGAGAAGAAGCTCTTCAAGTGTGCAAAGAGATGAATGAGAAGATTCATTGCTGGGAACATGTCTGTGGTGATCATCAGATTGAAGATTCCCACTTGTTCTTTCGATTCACACAAGATAGCACTCAACAAGACAATAACAATGCTGGTGCTGATGGCGTGGATTCTTCCGCCGCCCAACAAAGCAGTAGCGATGATCCCAAGCTTCCTGCCTTCAAGCGAAATCTGTCTACAGCATACACTCGACAAACCTACTATGAGAATATCAAGCACATGAAAGAGACCGTAGAGGTGAAGGATCGTACCTACCTGCTGAAAACGTACAAGGCATGTTTTTTGGCACAAGATGTAGTGACGGTAGCCCAAGAATTTTTCAAGTTGGAGACACGAGAAGAAGCTCTTCAAGTGTGCAGAGAGATGAATGAGAAGCTTCATTGTTGGGAACATGTCTGTGGTGATCATCAGATTGAAGATTCCTACTTGTTCTTTCGATTCACACAAGATAGCACTCGACAAACAGGATGCCTGGCAGAAGTCATGAGATCCAGACGGCAGGCAAAGGAAGAAGAAGCCGATCACGGTGCGTCACTTTCACTAATTGGTGATGATGAAAATGAAGCTGACAACCATCATCAGGATCTGCAAAAGCTACAAGCAGCCGTAATGGGCGAGACGGAGGCACTCAACAAATCGTTTACAGCTGACGGCAACCACAATAAGGAAAGAATACGAGCCACTCGAAGAGGTCAGAGTCCCAGAAAACCACAGCAACAACACACAAGGCGTACCCGAGAACGCGTAGAACGAAGTCACAGTTGCCCCCGTGTGGAGAATGGAGATCACAACCCTACATCAACGGAAAAACCCGCCCGTGTCCCTCGCCGAGACCGCAATGGATCCCAGGATTCTCGGCGATCGAGAGGAGTATCACGGTCAACGAGCTCCAAACGATACAGTGATGATGCGCGACGCTCCAACAGTCCCCACGCTTCCAGCCTCAGAGATCCTCATGGAAGTCAGAGATCTAATGCCTTTTCGGGAGAGTCCGATTCTAGCAGATCCAGCGACGATGCCTGCCCAAAATGCTCCTGTGATGCGAAGCGCAGTCCAAACAATTCTCGCAGCCCTTCGGAACGTCCCGTACGTCATCAAGGATCGGCGTTTTCGGGCGAGTCCGATTCAAGTAAGAGATCCAGTGACGCCGCCCCCAATCGGCCAAGTGCCGATGCACGACGCTCCCATAGTCCCAGCCTGACCAGCAGCAGCCACCATGGGCGTTCGGGATCTAATGATGCCAGGCCCAAGCGGTCCAGTGCCAACGCGCGACGCTCCCGAAGTCCCAGTACCCTGACGACCAGCAGCCACAAAGAGCGGTCCGAGTCTCGAAGCTGTTTTTCCGGAAAGAGTTCGAGAAGGCCTCAGGCTTCCTTGTCTCCCGTCGTCGCACCGCGAGTGTCGCAGAGCAGCCGACGATACCAGGCGCTGAAAAAGAAACAGGACAGCCTGAGAGATATGCTGGGTGATGGCAAGGATGACAATAGTGTTTCTTCGGAAGAAGAGGACACAAAGAGAACATATCTGCCGGCATTGGCTGCTCTCGCACAGCCTTGTCCTGATGGGTCCAAACGAGGGTTTGAACGAGCGGCTAGTTTCAAGGTGCCTCGAACATCTAATAGAGAGCAGCACAAGAAGGGAGCGGCGTTGCCGCCGAGGGCGTCCAGTGGACCACCTCGATTGGCTTCCATTCAAAAAGCCAAGGAGTTTATCGCCCAAAAGCGCGAGACTGACAAAAAATCTGCCGTGACCAATGCTGTTCAGAGGTGAATTTGCAGCTTTTAATTTAATACCGTAGACAACCCCCTATGCTAAAACCCCCTTCCCATAATGACCAGGCAATCATTACATGACATAACCCTATAGATTCTGCTGGTCATTGGAATAGCCCAATGAATACAAGCAAGCTGTGCTTCTCAATATTAGCTGAAAACAATGACTTCGCTCTGCAGGAAGATATTTTCCGGAGGGGGGTGAGCTTCATGGTCGGTTCTGGGCCAGATGATGCATGGTTCACCTTGGTGTTGGTGTTGAGCCAGGACTTACTCAATCGGAAGGTCCGCGAACTCAAGTTGCATGATGACAGGGTCAAGGTACCTCTGCCTGGCTCAACAAGCATAGCACAAAGGACCCTTGGGGGATGCAGAAAGGTTCGGGTCAGTTTGGAAAGGGCATGATGTGGCATCAAAGAACATCGAAGAAGCCGACACAGAGCTGCCCAAATGGGCCCCCCAAGCACACAAGTCTTGGTTGAAGCTTGCAGCACTATCAAACATTGAAATCATGCTAGTGGCAGAGGAAACATCCCATCCACTGATATCCCCATTAAACATTGTGCATGCAACAAACATGTAGTCGAACCCCTTCACATTGGATACATCCCAACTTTGGAAGTTGGAGTTGAGCAAGCTATTAGACAAAAACATACTTGCCATATCCGTGACACTGGCAACATTCCAACTAGATAGGTCAAAGTTGTAGACCTGGGGGGAAGCCATTGCAAATTTAGAAGCATTAAGGCATGGAAAATTTGTGAAAAGTATACCACAAGCAAAGCATGATGAAACGACTTACAATCCCAGAAAACAGAGAACCCAAGTTTTGGACAGATGACACATCCCAGTTGTTGAGGTTCTGTTGAAAGTTGCTGGCACCTTCAAACATGGCTTGAAAATTTGTAACTTTGGAGACTTTCCAGCTGCCAATGTCAGTGGCAAACTGAGTATTGCCATAAAACATCTGCTGCATGTCCTGCACATTGCTGACATCCCAGCTAGAGATGATACGGTTATACCCCTGATGACGGCACATTACACAGTTGCCAAGGTTAGGCCTTTCAAGATTTCCAAATTTGGTCAGCATGACACAAGTGGAGTCACTCACCGAATCAGAAAACATACCGAGCATGGAGGTCACGGCCGCAACATTCCAGTTGTTAAGGTCCCCATTGAATGCTGAGTATGCAAAAGCCTGCTGCAAGTTTTGAACAGAAGCAGTATTCCACCCAGTGAGGTCTTCATTGTAGCCAGATGAGACATAAAAAATCTGATGCATAGTTGTAACTTTCTGAGAACCCATGGTATATCAGATGAGGAACAGGTGAAATTTAAAAAAAAAAACCAACAACAAAATCTTTATAACGGATATGGCCCCAATGGACGGATCATCACTGTGCTGCAGCCGAAGCTTTGGGTAACCGCTCCCTCGGCCGAAGCGGGGATTGGTTTCACAGGAGACCACCACTGGTTCCCTCACCGGCACCACTCCCTAGGGGAGATGGTGCATTTAAAGTTACATGTAAGTATAAATGGCATATCTCGTGTGGATTTGCCGGAGATATATTCCTAACTGATTTGTGGGTTTGGCCGAATGGTTCAGGGAGAGTTACTTGGTTGGTTGGTGGAGGGAGAAAGGAGGGACGGAGCGGACGCAGGAGGGAATTGGAAGGATGGAAAGTGGAGGTCCTGCATCAATTACCCAGTCTCAAGCTGTGTGGCGTAACTCTCTTCAAGGACTGTTTCCCAAGTGTTGATCCATTGTCGGATTGATGCCGTGGGCCATTGGGATCTTGTGTTGATTGGTGTTTGGAGAAGCCATGCCTGTTCCGTTCTGAGGTTTCGGTGTATTTGTCATATAGCAGCTGAAGTTCATGGATAACCTGTCGGTTGGCTGCCTGTGCCTTGGTTTTTTGCGTCTTTGCCATGCCGATCATGATTCCTGGCCTCCCAGAGTTCGAACCACTGGTTGAGCAATTCTTGAATAATCCCTGTGAGCCAGGTTTGGCCATTTTTCCGATGTGTTTTGAGATTGCATTCCTTAAGGTGTTGATCCTGGCGTTGCGCCCACTGTTTGGATAGTCGTCCCTTGAGGAGCTGTCCCAACGATGGCTGCTTGGGCGTTTGCGATATCGGCAACACTGTCATCGTATTCAATTCCTGTGGTATCTTCTCATCGAGTACTTTTTGGAGTGCTGAGAGAAGAAGTGTTTGTAGCATTGGGTGAGTGTTGTGCTTGTCGGTGTATTTTTTGAGTGCCTTCTTCCATGCCGTTCGTTCTGATTGTCGCTTGGGCATCTCAGGACGTGTTCTCTGTTTTCTTCTGGTGCACCACAGGATGCGCATGCAATGGGATATTTGGGTTGGTATTTGTTGACACGTTTACCGACGGGGCGCCAATTGCAAAGGTACTGGGTGAGGGAACGTGGTGCTTCT